CGCCGCCCCCATGGGCGCCGCGTAGCCGTCGCCGAGCGGTTGCGCGAGTNTGCGCCGAGCACGACGTTCGCGTCCGCCGAGCGTTGCAGGTCGTCCGCGCCCGCGAGGAGTCATTCCCGATCGCTTCGTGGAGATGTTTGGCCGCAAAATCGATCAAGTCCGGGGGCACGGACCGCGGCCCCCGCGCGCCGGCCGCCGCAGAGCGGCGCCCGAAACCGCCGCCGAAACGGGTTCTGGGGTCATGAACGGCGATGTGGCGGATTTGACGTGATCTGTCGGGCCACGGCTCACCCGTAGTGATAGACGAGCTGCACGAGCCACTTCGCCGACGGGAACTCGCGCAGATCTAGCCGCGGTCCGCGCCTCGAACGTGTCGTCGGGACCCGTCTTCGGCCGCGCGCCGCACCACGACCACGGCCTCGGCCGACGCAGTTGAGCGCGCGCCGCATCTATGCGCAACATGGACGGACCGCCGCGACGGTTTACGGACCCGCGGCGACCTCCGGACGCGTCCAGCGCCGCCCGCTGCTCGGCCGCTCCCGCAGGCGGTTTCCGAGGCCGTGTGCGCCGTCGCGCGCACGCCGTTTCCAGCGCTCAAAAGTGGCACGCGACCGCGCAGGGACTAGTAGACGCGGACGGAAGCGGCGCGGGGGTCACAGGCGGCCTCATACGGCCTGTGGCGCGGCGCGAAGGCCATATTGAGGCTAATCGTCCGAGAGGTTTGGGTGTGTCGCGCGAGCTTTCGCGCGCAGTATGGACACCGCCGATCAAACTGCGCTGCGCGCAGGGTGGCAGGACCTGTCGAAACCACTGAACGCGTCCGCAGCGTTGGCCGCGCCGCTGGAGCGCGCGCGCCTCGCGCGCTTCGGCGTCGCCGCGGGCCAGTTCGCCGTGGCGACGGCCTGCGCCGAGCCGCTGCGCCTGTCGGAGGTCGGCGCCGTGCCGAGCGTCGGACGGCTGCCGCCGTCCGTCGTGCGCAAGGCGCCGGCGCCCGCGCCCGCGGCCGCCGCGCAGCGGGCGGCCGCGGCCGCCGCGGCGCCGAGCGCGCCGCCGGCCTGGGGCGCGGGGCCGCGCGCGGCTCCGGGCGGCGCGCGGTCGATGGGCTCGATGATGGGCGCCGCGCCGGAGGCGGAGCCGCGCGGGCGGCCCCGGTCGCGCTGGGGCGACGACGACCGCGACGACGAGGCCTACGAGCGGCGGCCCTACGAGGCCGTCGAGGAGAACCGGCCGCGGGGCGCGTTCCGCGGCGCGGGCGGCGGCGGCCCGCCGAAGCGCCAGTTCCAGGTGCCGCGCGCGAACAACGGCGACGGCAAGGCCGCGCCCGGCGGCAAGAAGATGCGCCGCGGCGCGTCGCCGGGCGGCGGCCAGGCGCAGCAGCGCGCGCCGCCGGCCGAGGAGAAGAAGCCCGAGGGCGAGGACGAGCTCCCCGAGCGGCTCAAGGGCTGCGACCCGGAGCTCGTCAAGCGCATCGAGCGGGAGATCATGCACAGCGGCGCCATGACGACCTTCGACGACGTCGCGGGGCTCCAGGACGCGAAGCGGTCCATCATGGAGATGGTCATCTGGCCCATGCAGCGGCCCGAGCTCTTCACGGGTTTACGGGCCGTGCCCAAGGGCATGCTCCTCTTCGGCCCGCCGGGCACGGGCAAGACCCTCATCGGGCGCGCCATCGCGTCGAGCAGCGGCGCGACCTTCTTCTCCATCTCCGCGTCGTCGCTGATGTCGAAGTGGATCGGCGAGTCGGAGAAGTTGGTCCGGACGATGTTCGCGGTCGCCGGCCACAAGGAGCCCAGCGTCGTCTTCATCGACGAGGTCGACTCCCTGCTGAGCCAGCGGTCCTCCGACGAGAACGAGGCGAGCCGGCGCCTGAAGACGGAGTTCCTCGTCCAGCTCGAGGGCGTCGGCTCCGGCGACGCGTCGAACCGCGAGCGCGTGCTCGTCGTCGGCGCGACGAACCGGCCCCAGGAGCTCGACGAGGCCGCGCGGCGGCGCTTCGTCAAGCGCTTCTACGTGCCCCTGCCCGACGACGTCGCGCGCCGGAGCCTCCTCGGCACGCTGCTCAAGCACAACCGGCACTCGCTGTCGCCCGCGGAGCTCGACGGCGACGTCGTCGACCGCACGCGGGGCTTCTCGGGCGCCGACATCCGCAACCTCTGCCAGGAGGCGGCCATGGGGCCCATGCGCGACGTCGGCTCGTCGCTCTTCGCGGGCGGCGGCGCGCCGGGCGTGCTCAGCGAGGACCAGATCCCGCCCATCTCCTTCGCGCACTTCGACAACGCCCTCAAGATCACGCGCGCGACGGTCGCGCCCGAAGACCTCGTCGGCTACGAGGCCTGGGACGCCCAGTTCGGCTCCGCGCGCGCGAGTTAATTCCCAGGAGCGCACCTTGAAGGAGTCCTTGAAGTTCACGGCCGCGGCGGAGCAGCCCATTTGGAGAGCATCCCATGGCGTGCCGCTGCGTGGATTGCGGCTTCGTGCTAAGCGAGTCATCGGTGCATTGGCCCACCTGCAAGCCGCTCGCGCGCGACGTCATCAAGACGCCAGAAACGAGCGAGGCGCCGGGCGCGCGGAATAAGCAGGCCTTCACTCTGAATGGTGGGAGCGGCACGCACTTGGACGCGCCGGCCCATATCCCCGGCGGGCGCACGATCGAGCTCATCACACCGCAGGAGCTCGTGAACGTGCCCCTCGCTATCGTCGACGTCACCGACAAAGTCGCGCGCGACGCCGACTACCGGTGCTCGCGCGCCGACGTCGAAAACGACGAGCGGGCGCACGGCGCGATCCCGGCCGGATCGCTCGTGTGTATTCGAACGGGCTGGGCGGAGGCGCGCTACGGGAACCGGAGCGACTACTACAACGCCGTCGACCCGTCGGACGTCGACGACTACACGGGGCTGCCCCGGATGCACTTCCCGGGCGTTTCTTTGGACGCCGCGCGCTACGTCGTCGACGGCGGCGCGCGCGGCCTCGCCATCGACACGTTGAATCCCGACTCCGACGGCTCGCCGGTGCACCACGAGGTCCTCGGGCGCGACCGCTACATCGTCGAGAACGTCCGCCTCGGGCCCGAGCTGCCCGCGCGCGGCTGGCTCGCGACGGTCGCGCCGCTCTGCGTCGCCGGCGCGCCGGAGGCGCCGGCTCGCTTTTTCGCGTGGCCCGCGGCGACGCACTGGTCCGTTGGCTTGGAAGAAGTCGCCGAGGCCGCAATCGCCGGAATCGAGGCGGCGCAGGCGAAGAAGCGCAGGCGTGAGGCCGCCCTCGCGGCGGCCGACTCCGACTCCGACGACGTCGTCGACACGGCCGCCATCGCCGAACGGCTGGAGGCGAAGAAGCGCAGGCGTGAGGCCGCCCTCGCGGCGGCCGACTCCGACTCCGACGACGTCGTCGACACGGCCGCCATCGCCGAACGGCTGGAGGCGAAGAAGCGCAGGCGTGAGGCCGCCCTCGCGGCGGTCGACTCCGATTCCGACGACGTCGTCGACACGGCCGCCATCGCCGAACGGCTGGAGGCGAAGAAGCGCAGGCGCGAGGCCGCCCTCGCGGCGGTCGACTCCGACTCCGACTCGGGGTAGGAGGAAACCGGCGCCTGTAGTTGGACGTGAGTACCCAGGTCACGTTATCCTCTTCGTGGGCTGAGGCGTCGGCGGCCAGGTCGGGTTGCCGTCGACGTAGACCTCGTAGCGCTTGTACATCTCGCCGTAGGAGAGGTGGGGCCCGCCGCGGAGCTTCTCGTGGTTGCCCGCGTCCATGAGGGCGAGCAGGCTGCCCGAGCCCCACACCGTCCGCAGCTCCGGCCCGTGGTTGCCCCAGTGGCACGGCAGGTGGATGCGCTCCTGCCAGGTCGGGTCCGTCCACTGCGTCTCGCGCGCGAAGGTGCCCGGCCCCGTGATGTAGAGCATCTGGAGCTTGCCCTCGTCGCTCGGGTAGATGCGCCGGGCGACGTTGGACACGACGCGCCGGATGACTTTCAACAGGTCCGGGTGCCCCCGCGTGCCGATCAGCAAGCCCTGCCACACGCCGGAAATGTTCTTGTACTGGTCCAGGTTCGACACCCAGCGGTCGATGCACGTGATCAACGTGGGCTTGGGCCCCGGCCGCCCGCCCGCGTCCCACTTGTCCTTGGCGTCGCGGAAGACCTTCTCGTTCTTCACCTTGTCGAGGAAGGTCCCGTAGTTCAGGCCCAGCTGCATCTTCGAGTCGAGGTACGTGCCGCCGCAGGCCCAGATCAGACAGTAGCGCCACAGGTCCGCCTTGAAGGCCAGCGGTCGCAGCGCGTCAAACGCCTCGAGCGCGCCGGCCACGCCCTCCAGTTCCAACACCGCGTCGAGCGCTCTCATGGACGCGTTGAGCGCCGCGTCGTCGTAGAAGTGGAAGATGAAGTTGTCGGGCCACTTGCCGTCCTTCACCACGAAGTCGCGCATGCCGATGTCGAACTTGCCCGTGTAGTGCACGTGCGGCGGCATGGCGTGCTGCAGCGAGTCCGCCGGGCAGGCGTCGGCGAGCAGGCGGCTCCGCAGCTTGCGGTGGTGCCTGCTGCCGGCGCGGGCGGACGCGGACCCGCAGATGACAACGAGCGCCGCGGCGGCGAGGCGCATGGCCGGTGCCACCTTCGATTCGACGATGGCTGCCCCCCGGCCCGGGGATGACGAGCGAGACGTTGTTGATAAAGGCACCGCCGGACGGTGAGGAGATGTTGAGGGCCGCTGTGAGGTGGCCGCAGCCGCCGAAGAATCGGGAGAAGCACGTCGTCGTCGCGTTGCAGCACCGCTTCGCAGTGTAGTGGTCTCGTTGCAGCCTCATCGTTTGCCCTCGTGCAACGGCAACACCGCGTCGCGCGGCCAACGATTGCCGACGCAGCAACACCGCGTCGCGCTTTCAACGAAATGGACTTCGCCGGCCGACTCGCCTGCGAGCTCGGCTGCGCGGGCTTGGGCACGGCCATCGCCGACGGCCTCTTCCACGGCGTCGATACGCTGAAGGTGCGGCAGCACGTCACCCCGGCGTACACGGCGCGACGGGCGCTCGCGGAGGCCGGCGGCGGCCTGCGGGGCGTCGTGAGCGTGTGGACGCCGGGCCTCTACGCGACGTGCGTGCGCGCGTTCACCTACGCGGCCGTGCGCGTCGGCGCCTACCCGTGCGCGCGCGACGCCATCGCGGCCGGCGGCGACGCGTCCTTCGCCGCGCGCGTCGCCGCCGGGTCGGCCACGGGCGCCGTCGCCGCGCTCGCGTTCACGCCGCTCGACGTGCTGCGCACGCGGCAGCAGCTGCGGCCCCACGCGCTGCCCGCCCTGGACGTGCTCGGCGGGCTCCGGCGCATCGCCGCGGGCGACGTGGCGTCGCTCTGGCGCGGCGCGGGCGTCAACGTCGTCCGCGCGTCGATCCTCTCGGCGGCGCAGCTGTCGACGTACGACGTCGCGAAGCGCGAGCTCCGGGACCGCCGGGGCTTCGCCGAGGGTCCGGCTCTCCATTTTGCGGCAGCGGTCTTCGCCGGCGCCGTCGCGCAGACGCTGATCCAGCCCCTCTGCGCGATCCGCACGGCCGTGTTCTCCGACGCCCGGCCCCTGGCAGACGCGCTGCGACGGCCGCTCTTCCGCGGCTACGGCGCGGGGCTGCTGCGCCAGGGCCCCGTGCTCGCGCTGACGCTCGCCGTCACGGAGCGCGCGCGGTCGTCTCTGGGGCTCGCGCCCATGTAAATTAGAGAATGAGGTGGTAGGGGCAGTTCGCGGCGAATTCGGCCTGCATCTCGTCGTAGGTCTTGCCCTTTTGCGTGAGGAGGTGGTAGGGGCAGTTGTTCGCGAAGTTGTCCATCATCTTGTTGTAGACGCAGCCCTCCGTGAGGTCGCCGTTGCGCTCGCACTCCTCCGCGATCTGCTTCGACGGCGGGTTCCACTCGACCTTGCCGTCCATGAGGTCCTGGATGTGCTGCGGCCGGTTCGCGACCTGCGTTCGCGGCGACGCTCTCCGGAAACAGTTGCAAGCGCGTGTTTGTCGCGATGCTCTCTGGGAAAAAAAACCCGTGCGATGCTCTCTGGAACGACGGTCGAAGCGAACCTTCGACTCGGGCCGTCGCCGCGTCCTCGATGAACTTGGCGGACTTGGCCATGAGCATCTCGATGACCTTCATGTCGGCGTCGAAGTCGGCGAGCCGCTTCGCCTCCGCCTCCGCCGGCGGCAGGGGCGGCGGCGGCGGCGGCTTGGGCGGCGGGTTGCGCATGCGCTCCGCGAGCTCGTCCGCGCGTTTTCGAGCGGCGGCGAGCCGCTCCTCGGTGACGATACTCAGCGGGTCGGGCTCGTAGGGCGCGTCGATGAGGTCCTGGATGTGCTTCGGCCGGTTCGCCACGGCCTTGTCGATGGCCGCCGCCGACGCCTTCATGAGGCGCGCGCAGACCTCCTGGGTCGACCGGTGCTGCTCCGCCTCGGTCTCGTCGACGGGGGGCGGCGGCGGCTGGACGTCGACGTCGAAGACCTCGCAGGGCGCCGACATGTCAAAGTCCTCGTCGTCGTCGCCCGCGAAGGTCACGGGCTCGTCGGGGTCCACCTCGAAGACGGGCATCGTGATGGGCAGCCCTCGTGCAGCCCACCTCTTCCGATGAGCGCAAGTGCGGAGTGGTGAAGCAACGTTGAAGCTTCGATTCGCAGATGAGGATGCAATTTGAGGCTGTTCTGCGCGTCGTTGCGTGCCTCGCCGCCGCCGCGCAGGCGTTCCAGGTGCCCGCGACGTCGACGGCGCCAGCGCTGCGCGTGAACAGGCCGCGCCGCCTGGCGCCCCTGGGATCGATCGCCGTGCCGTCCTTCGTCTCCCAGTCGCTCCTCGCGCCGGCGCACAGACCCGCGCTCCGCACGGTCGTGGCCCGGTCCGCCGCCGCCTGCGCCGCGCTCATCGCCGTGCGGCGGCAGCGCGGCGGCCCCGCGACGAACCCGGAGCGCGCGGCCGCCGTGCCGATCCGCTGCCCGTGGCCGTTCGTGCTCGTCGCGGTGCCCTGGACGCGGCTCGGCCGGCGATCCCTGCGCGCGGGCTTCTTCGACTACCAGACCTGGGTCTGCATCGCGCTCCTGCTTCTGCGGGTGTGAGCAGCGCGCGCGCGGCGGCGCTCTCGCTCCCGCGAGGCGCCGACATGTACGAACAAATACGCATGTTAAAAAAACAACAGGTTAGTCATCTGATGGGGATGGCGGTGACGGCGGTTTTGGGGACGGGCTCCTCGACCGGCCGGGCCTCGACGAGCTGGACGTCGCCGTCGTCGTCGTTCGCCTCGTTCGCGGGCGTGACGGCGGCCTCGAGCGGCGCCGGCGGCGCGACGGCGACGCCCTCGGCGGCGTAGATCGCGCCGTGGCGGTCGCGGAGGAAGACCGCGTAGCGGTGCGAGGAATGGCGCATGAAGCAGGTGGAGAAGAGGCCGCAGCAGAAACACGAACCGACGATGAAGGCGAGGATCATGAAATAGCTCAGGGGATTGCTGCAGCTGACGGACTTGCCGTACCGGGGCGAATCCCGATCGCAGTCGACGGTGGGGTCGACGCATTTCGTGCAGCAGGTGTCGTAGCCCGTCGAGCACGAGTCCTTGAAGCACCTGTCGCCGCGCGAGTACCGGTAGCCGGGGGCGCACCGCGCCGTCTCCGGGAGCGCGCAGCAGTCGTGGTCCACGACGTCGTGGCCGGGCCGTTTCCCGGCGATCATTTCCCGGCAAACATTCTCCGACCTGTACGCGCAGCGGAAGTACGGCGAGGTCGTGGTCGCGGGTTCGACGACGTCCTCGTGGAAGCGCTCGTCGTCGTCGTCCGGCAGAATCGCCTCGTGGAACGTGTCGTCATGTAGTACATCCCACGAAGTCGGCGGCGAGGCGGCCACGTAGTCGTCGTCGAACCCGTCGGACGTTTCCGTCGCCGTCGGCGGCGGAGTGTCTCGCGACGGAGGTTCGCCGGAGGGACCGAAGACGGAGGGCGGCGGCCGATCGGGGTCTAGTGTCGATGAGGAGGCGACGTCGTCGTCGTCGCCGCCCCCGCGGTGTAGAGGGTGCCGAAGGATCTGCGATGTTGTGAGTCGAGAGAGCACACCCAGGGAGAGCAGGAACGGCCCCAAACGCATCGCGCCGAGGTTGCAGACGCGGTCGACGAGGCGACGGCGCGACGACTCACGAAGACGTGGGCCGCCGACGACGACGCGGCGAAGCGTGAGGTGTGAGCGGCAGACGACGAATGTGTGGTGCAGCTCGGAGAGGTTGAGAGAACTTGGACTGAGCTCAGCAGCACAAGCCTGCGCCGCGAAACCGCCGATGCCTCGGGGCGGGACGCCCCTCGTCCCCGACTCGGTGCGCGCGCCGAAATGATGACGTCTAAAACAGCCCCAGCCAGCCAAGAAGCCTTAAAGCCGCAGGTGCACCACGGGCACCTGCCCCGGCGCGACGGGCACGCGGCTCACCTGCCAGTCCTCGAGGGGCGGCGGCGGCGGCTTCGCGGCGACGACCGGCGCCGGCGGCGGGTCGTCGTCGTCCGTCGCCTCGCCGTCGCCGCCGGCCGCCGCGCGCGACTCGCCGGACACGTTCGCGAGGCCGCCGGGTCCGACGGGCGAAGACGCGGGCGACGCGGGCGGCGACAGCGACCGGCGGACGACGTCGAAGAGCGACTTCGTCGGCGATGCCTTGGGCGACGCGACGGCGTCCCGGAGCTTGCCCCAGAGCCGCGCCTTCGGCGGCGGCGGCCGCGCCTCGCCCGGCGCGTCGCCGTCGGAGGCGGCCGCGGGCGGGTCCGCGGGCAGCGACAGCGACCGCTCGACGGCGTAGGCGGGCACCTCCGGCGGCCGGAGCTGCGCCGCGAGGGACGCGCGGCGCCGCGGGGGCAGCGCCGCGGCCGAGAGCGCGCGGCGCGGCGCGGGCTTCGCGTCGTCCGAGGGAAAGAAACCGCGCGCGTCGTCGGCCGCCGGCGACGGCGGGCAGAGGTCGAGGGCCTCGAAGAGGTCGTCGTCTGCTCGGTCGGCGACCGCGGGGTCGGGCGACGCCTCGGACTCCAGGGTGGCGTCGTCGTCGTCGTCCGACGACGAGTCGTCGGCGTACCGCCGCCGCGGCGCGTACGCGGGCGCGTCCCCGTCCGACGAGTCGTCGTCGCCCGGCCGCGGCCGCCCCCGCTTCGCGGCCTCGCGTCGCCACTCCCGGTCCGCCTTCTCCGCGGCCGCGAGCTGCGCCGCCTGCTCGACGAACGACTCCGCGTCGCGGAGCGGAGCCTCGGGGG